TTATCTGCCTGTTGAACTACAGGTTGTGGTCCGATTATACTTAATGACAATTTCCTCTCACCAAAAAAATTACAACACATGTTTTTTTAACGTGAATCATATTGTGTTGACAAAATTTCAATTGTGCAACTACGACATGGGTAGGAACTAGTGATTTCATGTGGAATAACACCCAAGATGGCATTAGACCTATACGAATCAAAATTCCTTAGTCGAACCAATATGGTGAACAAGGTAAACTGTTCATCTTAATAAGTATTACATGGTTTGCAGTTTATTTTTTTAATACGTGTTGACAATTTCCGCATATGTAGGTGTGTGTTCCGATGAGAGATAATGCCCATTGGTACTTGGCTGTCATTAAGTTGGACAAGGAAGAAGTCCATATCTTGGATCCACAACCAAATGAAGACCACAATTCCTTTCGACTACAATCTGTTCAAACAATGGTAAATTTGTGACATTGTGCCGTTATAACGCAAAAAAATGTAAATAACTCTTTCTAATTACAAACGTTTCTTAATTTGTACAGATGAGCTTTATGCAAGCCTTGTGGAAGATTCTCTATCGTGAACAAGGTCCGGGATTGTCGCCACCAAGGATTGCGGAGTTTTCGTACCCAACTCCTTCAAAGGATCAAGAACAACTTCATCGGTAAGTATGCCCATTTTTTTGTGATATTAAACGACGACTTATCAACTTGGTTCTTATCACGCAATGCTTTTATTTTATGTAGGTCTGACAGTGGAGTCTGGGTATGCATGTGGATGTATGGCGCAAGCTGGAACTCCTCTTATATTTGGGTAAAGACAATTCTAATTCGCATATTAGAAAACCACAATTGATTGTTATTTTTGAATCATGCGGTAAGCACCATGTTTGTTGATGTTGATAGTCGTGCACTCAAGTGAGGAGGATGCAGATCGCTTTGTACCTTGTTCGAGAGCCCATGAACTACATAAGGCATATGGTGCTCACGGAAGCAAGAAGAGTTGCACCTCAAGTTGAAGGAGGAATTTTACAATGCTATATAGCATTGGTGCTATAGGTTTTTACCTTTATGGTACAACTTGAAATTGTACCTTTAATGTTATGGTACAACTTCAGATTGTACCTATACTTTTTGTACAAATTCTTTTATGGTACAACTTAAACTTGTACCTTATGTGATGGTACAACTTCAAGTTGTAAAGTTGTACCATAACATAATTATACAAATTCTTTTATGGTACAACCTAAACTTGTACATTTAATGTTATGGTACAATTTCAAGTTGTACATTAAAACACCAATACTATATAGCATAGTAGAAGTGCTCAAGTTGAAGTTGCAGTGGAAGAGTACAAGAAAACCCATGAAAGGAGGAAAAAGGAAATAGAAGAGCACAAGGAAACCCAGTCAACGAGCCCAAGAACAACCTGATTTTGCGTTTTAGTTTTCAAGATGATGGACAACAGTTATGTTTTTTTTTCTCAGGATGATGGACAACCGTTTTTTATTTGGTTCGGTGAATGCTTTTTATTTTTGGTTTTTATATTTGGTTTTTGGTTTGGTGAATGCTTTTTATTTGGTTTTTGGTTTGGTTTGGTGAATGGTTTTTATATTTGGTTTTTGGTTTGGTTTTTGGTTTGGTGAATGCTTTCTATATTTGGTTTTTGGTATTGTGAATGCTTTCTATATTTGGTTTTTGGTATTGTGAATGCTTTCTATATTTGGTTTGGTTTGGTTTGTTTTTTCGTGGAAATGGCAAAGGGACTTCACCAAAATCCCAGCTTCCAACTTGTGAGTGAGGTTGCTTCTGTTCAAGGCTTCAAGCCATTGTATCTTGTAGAGAGGTTTAATTGGGATCATGTATAGTTAAACTGATTGGCTCCCAATCGTATAATTAAATTTGCATTCATTTATAGGTAACCCAAAAGGTAAAACTGATTGGCTCCCAATCGTATAATTAAATTTGCATTGATGTATAGGTAACCCAAAAGGTAAAACTAATTGGCTCCCAATCAGTATAAATAATGACAAAACCCAGTACAAGGCAGATAGAAAATTCTTATGTAATTAATTTAATGTTCCTAGGATATGGAAAGACTTCCATGTAAAGGATTGAAAGTAGTGATTTACATTGATTAGGAGAGTGGCTTAAGTACCAACTCTTGAACAGATTGAAGCTACAAAGTAGGAGCCACTAACCCACTAACTAAAACTAATGACGTTACTAACTAATAATAATAACATTAATTATTTACAGAAATTGAATTTATGCACAGCCCTTATCATTCCATTCATTGAATTTCCACCAACGATGTTTTCACTCCCCTTTTAGTCAGAGAATTCATTGTAGTAATAAATACAATAAAAATGCATACATAATTAATGGATTCTTTATTGTGTATAATTAAAAGGATATTTTACTATGAACGAAGCATGATAGATCCACAGGGGGATAAAAGAAGCATGAGTCTTGATGAAAAAGGGGGGGAAAATCACCATAGATAAAAAATCATTATAATCAAGCCATATACATACTATTCACGCCTATCATCGTCACTATACTTGTGACCAAATATAAATAAAACCATAATTTTCGAAAACATTGCAATTCCATAGGTAGTCCCTACTTCAACTTCTAAATAAAACCATAATTTTCGAAAACATTGCAATTTCATAGGTAGTCCCTACTTCAACTTCTAAATAAAACCATAATTTTCGAAAACATTGCAATTTCATAGGTAGTCCCTACTTCGACCTAATTGGAACTGCTTAGAACAAAAGCGGATTAAAATCTCCCCCAATGAAATTCATATGCAATTTCATAGGTAGTCCCTACTTCCACTTCTATAATTTTGAGAAAACATTGCAATTTCATCAATAGTCCCCACTCGTGGGCCAATTTCAATTGCAACCAAATTTGCACCCTTGCAATAGCTTCTCACATCATAGCAAGTGTAGGATGCAATTGCACCTCCTTGCTTAGGGATGACCATTACTGCATCTCGTCACCTGTCTTAGGGAAATTAGCCATGGCAAATTCACAAAATACTGCATGCATAGAAAAATATTTGTCTGGATAATTAAAAAAATGGGAGACTTTCCTAGTCAGATGATGTACTGGCTCCCCTCGGTACCTGACAGTTTTGAGTGCTGGAGAAAAAGACTGGAAAAAAAAACAACAAAGCCTTACAGTAAACTTCTTAACAAAAGACATCCAATGTTGGCCCCTTTGATGCTCCAACGCTCCACCCCGCCCTGCATCAATCGACTCTCATGTAAGCCGAGGACGTTTGCTTGAGGATGCCTCAGGGGTCTCTTCATGCTCCGTATGCCGAAGGTCATAAAAAGTATTGGTCACTTCGACGATATGGTAGACTGGCAAATAGGCGGAATGGTCCTCCCTAGCATAAACCCCCATATCCATCCCAACCCTTCCAAGAGAGGTGGTCAAGAAGGTGGCATATGGAAAGGCAGTGTACCAGTTTTCCCCTCTAGGAGCAGCCTCAACCATGTTCAGGCACATGAGAGATGCGAGGTTAAGAGGAACACCTCTTTGAGCTTGCACAAGGATAAACAGGTCAAGTTTACGAATTATCGAATGACCACTGTACCTTGGCATGAAGCAGTTGACGATCATCCAATGGAGGAATCGAAGAGAATCTGGGAGGAAAGAAGCCTGGATGCGCCCGTTCGTCAGTTTCGCCAGTTCAACTTCAAACTCAAAATCGTACAGCCGCCGAAGATCGCTTCTGCTATCAATGTGGTGTCCTGCGGCGGGGAGATCGAGGATCTCAGCAAACTGATGAGGCTGGAAGCAGACTCTATAACCCAGGAAGATCGACACGAGATGAGAATCGGAGGGACCAGACAGCTCTAAATTGTGGTAGAACTTCCTCACCACATGCGGGCAGTAACTGGTGCTTCCTCGACTCCGGAGATCAAAGAACTTTTCCCAGCCAAGTTTTTAATTAACTTCTTCACTTCTTGAGGGAAAGGACTCAGGTGGATGAACTCGTACTAGGCCACAATAGATGTCTTGCTCGTGAATGAAAGATAGTCCGCGAGACTTGGGGTGGATCGGCAGTCGTCGTTTGATAGAGTTAGTATGCCCATATCCGCAAACGATTTGCCTTTGTTTGCCATGGAGTCAGAGGAAGAAGGAACAAGGGAAGGTGAAGATGGAGGAAAGAGAGATTGTAGGTGTAAGAAAAAGTGATCGTGGGGGTTGAGTGTGGAGATGTGTGATGGAGACGGTTGAGTCTGGAATGTCAAGAGTTAGAAGATTTGGGAAGATATGTAGTAATGATGATGTTAACTCGTGTAGGTTAAACTAGGGTAACTAAAGCTAGTTAAACTAGGGTTAGCGCTGATACCGCAGGAGAAAACTAATGGGCTCGCACGTTCCAGGCCCACTTTTGAATATTGCATGGGTCATGTACAAGCCCACGTTTGAATGTTATTTAAAAGCCTGCAAAAATCAATGATCAGACCCAGTCCAACTAGAATTAGTCCTAAACGCACCGTTACACTACAGAAAAAAGATCATTTATTCACGGGAAATCCCGTGTTTAAATATGTGTTTCCTGTGTTTAATAGATTTTGATACGGGAAAGTTACCGTAATATATACCTCCGTGTCTAATTGTAAAGGTCACGGGAAACTTGTACTGTGACTAGTTATAACTAATCATGGTATAATTTCCTGTGAACATTTGTACTTATTAATCACGGGGAGCCCTGTGACTAATACCAAATTTTGCCACAAAAAAACTCGTTTAGATACGGGATGTAGACCTTTCATCACTGTATTTACCATGACAAAATCATTTCCCGTGACTAGATACCAATCATTAGTCACAGTATTTGGTTGGTTCTCCCGTGTCTAGATATTAACAATTTGTCTCAGTCTACGACTAATTATCAATCACTAGCCATGATATTTTGCCACAATACATAAAATTTCATATATTGATATACAATTGAAAGACCTAATCTTATAGCATGGAATGCATTCAAATATCATTGATCATTGTTAATTAACCTATAATTTAAAATAGTAACTATTGTAGCATGAAACTCAAACATAATGAACATCAATTAAAACTCCGGTCATTCTGACCAAATCATCTAAACTCTAAAGGCATCCGAATCTTGAGTCTGTTCTTCTACAAGATATATTATTTAATAGCTGCAATATCCATAAACTCGTGAATCTGCAAGTCTCTTCTCCGTCCTTTCCTTCATTCATAGAGTCATCATTTTACCTCTCCTTCCACACCTAGATAGATTCATAAACGATCACAAGATTGAAGTAGTGAAGAGAAACAACAATCTGGACAGTTTAGAAAATAACATAATCACAGTTTCATCAAAGACATCACCACACAATAGAATCTAGATCAGTCTACTTAGAAGTCTTTGCAAACTGTACCAAAAAGAGCAAAAGAGGGTTTGACAGGCAAATACCAATGTAATAGCAAGTTAGTTTCAAGGTAGATCTCAATAGCATGCAGACCTGACCACGTGTTCACTTTAAAGCAGAACTCTGTGAAAGAGAAGGGAAACAACTAGTTTTTCAGTCATCAAGCTAGAGCAATTTCCATATGCATCAGCTAAAGATGTTAAATCTGTCTTTACCTAGAAACAAACATTCACAAGCTGTATGCATGCAAATGTTAAATGCCTATACATAAATGGTCTCTGGGATTCACAAACTCAAACAAAATAGAGACACTATCACCCTCACAAGAGGCTTTTATTTTGATTACTTAGCTTAGGTGATAAGTCAGTAGTGGATTAGAGAGTGAGCTAATATATAATGATAATCATATTTGTGTATGGTTCTTAGCTGGATAAGGAAATCCGCTCCATTATTAAATTTTTGCTCTCAATCGCACTGAGTCATTCAAAACACATTGAACAAAGAAACTCCCTGATTCTTCTAAAATCCTCCTGAACATTGCTGTTTTTTTAGTGTCAAGAGCTACCTTAAAGAAGTATGCTCGCACTAGAACAGCTGCATAGTCATAGAGATAGCTTATCTTAGTTTGAGAGAGTAGTCAAGATTTCCTACACATTATTAACCAACCACATTCAATTAGTTACAAAGCCTAGATGCTTCAGCACAAGATGAAGTAAATAAAAAGAACCCAACTTAAAACTAGTACAATTGCATCTTTTGTTGAACAGGAGACAGAGAGCGAGAATGAGAATGAGTACCTTGAGAAATGCACAAGCTATGTTGAGGTGGAGCTGCAAAACAAGTAGGCGACAAGTGAAACTTAATTCAGTTGAAGATTTATATTACAAACAAAATAAAGAACTCTCCCTACTTCTAAATAGTCGAAAGCATAAGACCATTTTCAGTCTTAATGATATACTTGTGAGATCGATCAAACTAAGAGAGGCAGAGGTAGTAGAGACACAAAACTCTAAACCCTTTGGGCAGATTATACCTCTGTTGATTTCATGTGGAACACTAAGTTCACAAAATAAAAGTATTATAGAAGCTGCAGGCAGTGAGATAATTTGAAAGAAAAACAATGAAAAGATTGCAATGACCAATTAATTACCCTGCTCATAGTTGGTTGAACTACAACTCTTTACAATATGAAGGAACCATAATTTCGTCTTCTTTAAGATATAGTAGGCAAAATCCTGCCATAGTGAACAAACAAAAAGTAAAGAGAGTAGTTATACAAAGAAAGCCAATTAATTGAACAAAACAGGGAATGAAGCAAGTGATAAACAGGGCATTTATGGTCTTCTGATTCACTGCCAAAGACCTTAGCAGTATCCTCATCTTCAGAAGTTGACTTATCAATTCAAGGTAAAGTATTGCATTAACAGGTAGTGTATGCTGATCTATGTTCAGGTTCCGCATAGTACATTTGATGCACCAACACATTTGTTCAGTCTAACCAGAAATCAAAGATAATGAAGATTAACTTAGCTAACATGAATAAAGCCTCTATAAGCACTCAAGTATTCACTAACAAAGCATAGAGAAACAATCCTACAAATTGAACCATCGCCTCAACTTACTTAAATGAATCATTGAGACTAAATGAAGCAGAATGATAGAGAGTAACTTATAGCTCCTTCAGCTCATCAGCCTTGGCTCTTGATTGAGCATCCAGAGCAAACAAAACACAGGAATCCTCCTTTAGTTTCCTTGTGTATTGTGCTGCTCTCTCAAGGCAGCGACTTCACAGAACTAACATCCAATTAGTTCGAGACTCCGCTCTGCTCTAGCCAGCAGCAGCAGATCCCCTACAGCAAACAGCAGCTCCGCTCCGCTTCAGCTGCCAGCAGCTCCGCTTTGCTCCAGCCGCCAACAACAACAGATCTGCTATGAAGAATGCCTGGTAAAGAATCGAGAACAAAGATGATGGAGATTTAGCGTTTGATGAGAATTGAAAAGGAAGACAAGCGGTTTTCTGATTAGGTTTGGTTACATTCACTCGATGAAAAAATCGTGAAAGAACAAAGAAAAGGAAAGCAATGTAAAGGAAAAATTAGGGTTTGCGTATCCTCAATTTTGTCTCGCACCGTAAAAGGGAAGGGGGAAATGGCAAGTGGGAAAAAATGCGGGAGAGAGAGCGCCAAAACTTTAGAATTTGGTCGGCCAAAATTAAGGATTATGGAGCCAAAAAGTTTTGGGAGCGAAAATTTTGGACTGCACAGCGGGAATCAATGCGGGAGAAATTTTTGGAATTAAAATTAGGCATAGCAAATATAAAGCGGGAGGCTAAGTATGAAAATTTTGGAGAGGCAAAATCCCATTTTTTGAATTTTTGGGAAACCAACTTTGAGAAGAATTCCAATTTTAAAGAGTCTCATTTTAAATAAATTATTAATCTATGCTCTTTTAGAGAAAAACTTATATATGTGTATGAATCTGTGAGAATTAAAATTTGTAGATTAATTTTTTTTAGAGGTATTTTGTTCTAAACCAAACTCAATTTTAGGGTTTAGAGTTTGAATTGGAAAATAATTTAGGTTTAGGATTGAAATTTAAAATTAATTTATGTTTGGTGTTTAATTTTAGAAATAATTCTTCTACCCCTCCCAAACCATAAACCTTTATTTCCACAAAACCATCAACCATCAACCTTGATACATCCAACCCAACTACGACGTCATCTTGGAGGCCGAATCGTTCCAACCTCCACTAACAACAATCGTTTGCATCATCAAAAAACTCAATCTAGTCCCACGAAACTCGATGTTTCGACCCCCTGGGCTACCGGAAACCTCGATCAAAGTTTTGGCACTATTCATGATGTCTTCACTTAGGACATCAAATCGAGAAACGAGCGATTTCTGTGCGTTTAGGACCACATTTCAAGTGATCTATGAAGTTTTGGGTAATTTCCCATGTCGGCAACTCGAAAAAAGACCAGTTTACAATAAATAAGCACACTATTTACTGATGTTGCTATAACCTTAATATGTTTGTAGGATGTTTGGGATTATATTACTGAATTTTAAAATTTATAAAATCTTATAAAAAAGTGTTGGCTGGAAATAGTAATACTTAACATTTCCATAGGGTTTGAATTAATGTTCTTTATGAATTTTTTAATTTCACCTTGATTTCACCTAAATTTTGAAAAGAAAAATTGTCATATTCATCACAGTAATTAACCGTGACTAACAATTAGTCACGGGAAATGAAGGCTGAAGATAGTTAAATTAATTCCCGTGATTAGAACTATACCACCAAACACAGGAATTTTCACCGTGACTATTTGTATATTTCTAAGTACGGGAAACATTCCGGTGAATAAGATCCCGTGATCAAAAACCAGTTTTCCTGTAGTGTTAATACATAAACACAAACTAAGGAGACATCTCCATCCGATTCGAATCAAATTATGTGTTCTTCATCTTCTTCCTCAATCCTCTGGGCGAGACGAACACTGCATATCAGGAAACCTAAATTTCACCGAGAGATATAAGGTTCGAGAAAATCACAATAACGCTAAGACAAGATGACAAAGCACTAGTGACATGAACCCTAGGGTTAGCAAACCTCTTTCAAGGGTTCTTTTGCAAATGAAAAGTTCGATGAACACAATAATAGACATGGTCGCCGTAATCGTGTTAGAAAGAGATAGGCGAGGGGAAATACAATGGCGAAGAAGAAACAAGACAAATTTTTTTTGGGAAATTCAATCTACGTCGAATGTGGATGCAAGTAATTGGGATTCAAAAGGATGATTAAAAAAAGGGAGTTCAAATTGGATGGGGAGCTTCTCTTGGAACTGTGAAGGGGCGTCCCTCCAAGACGAGAGAGGGATCGTGTAATTGGTTAGGGAGACTGGAAATGTGTTTGGGCGGCAGTGGGTCTACCCAATTGGGTTTGCAGTCTTAATCCATTTAATTTAATCGGGGTAGTTAGTTGGACTAGGATGAAAACAAACTTAACGCGGAGGAGGCTTTTTGTAATTTGTTTAGTTATTTAGTGGCGCAGTTAGGTTTAACAAACGTGAGCCGTGGAGATTGAAAACGAATGGTTAAGATCGGCCAAAGTACCCGTACCCGGATTTTGCCCTAGGCACCGTAGAAGTCACCATATATATAGTTCAGACAAGCGTACACCTGGATTTTTTATACGATTTAGTCCCAAATAATTTTTGACCATCATTATTGAAAATTAATCGCATAAATATCCAAAATAAAATTATAGTACCTTAATGTTTGCTAATCATGATTTACAACACACAAATTTCTTATTACAAAAAAGTAGTCGAATCATCATTTCTAACAATCCATTCAAGTACATTTCATATATTCATTGAGAATGCACCACTAAAACCTTAAAGACAGCAACCTAGTATCCATTTTCTTATATGAGAAAACTTCACATGCCCAATTCTCGTGAGCCGCCATCGTCATCTGTGGATCAAAGTTGTCGCATGTTCCCAACCCAGATCAGACGGACTAATCTCTTTAGTTCTTAGGGTTTCTGAGATCGATCTCTCGTCGGAAGGAGGCGCTGCAACGAGAGAGGACGCAGCAGAGGAGAATGCGACTCAAGAGGGGATCGTCTACTTTTGGTAGTTGTTCGACTTCAAGTGGACGCAGGAGATGATTTCGCCTTCGAGAGTTTAAATACCGGTGAAAGAGCCGACGCCAATCAAGTGATAGGGTATTTGACCAGAGAAGCAATTGAAAGGGAGGTTGAGGGGTGAGGGAAGAGAGGAGGACAATAGGTTGGGGATTTGGCCGAATGGTCAGAATGGTTGACTCTTTCCGTAACCTCTGCCTTCCCGGGGATATCGCCGGTGGCGCAAACTCCCTTGGTTTTCGTCTTCTGAAGGCCACCTATTCAGGGTAATTGGTGTACTTATGGACGAAAGTAGCTAGCTTATAGGTTTAGAATTTTTAGTTGTCTTTGGTTGAGAAAGAAAATTATACTTTTGAACTGAAGTAACAACACTTGCTGAATTTCATCAAATTAATGTATGTTGGATCTCCGTATCAGGTTCTTATTCATTTCACAGGAAGATTTCATATGATTGGTGATTTTGGTGGTCTGGTATATTTGTCTCTATGAAATGTGTGTTGGATACGTTCTCTTTCCCTTGTTCCCCTCTGCTTATTCCCTCTGTATTTTCTGGAGGAAACGGAGGTTCAGTTCCAGGACATGATGGTGGAAACTGCAGAGCTTCTTCACAACCAAAAAATCAGTTCCAGGGCAAGATGGTGGAAACTGGAAACTGCAGAGCTTCTTGACAGCCAAAAACTGATCATCCAAGTTCGTGTTCTATATGCCCGGCGTCTGGCGATCAAACTAGACTTTACCAACAGAAATCGAAATGGTCCCTTTCCAGGCTGTGGAGACGTACCGCAAAGACACAACAATTATTTAATGGATGTCATTGTAATTGTAATTGTAATTTTAATTATCATTAATTATTAATTTATTCATAATTAAATTAAAATTATTTAATAATTAATTTCAAATGTGAGCACAGGCATTACCTCGTACGTCAGGTGTACGCTAGCCTTTACTATATATATAAGTACATCTAACGGCTAGATCTAACGGCCATATATATATATATATGGGGGTGCCTTCTACGGTACCCCGGGTGAAATCCGGTGTACCGCATACCTTGAGTACGAAAACGCTATTTAGACCTCGAATTAGCAGGATTTTTGGGCATGATACTATATCATAACCCTTAATGAGAAGGTCCTAATTATCTAAATCATAAACTATAAACCCTAAGATGGTGCATTGATTTTTTTGCCTATATTTGGATGAATCATAACGGTCGGTTATTGTTTCTAATTAAATTGATCTTGGGGTTTAAGATTTAGAGAATTAAGACCTAGATTTTGATCCTTAAGGGTTAGAGTATAGTAGCATGTCCGAAAGATAAGTCAATGCAAGTTCTAGATAGCGTTTTCTTACCTAAGGTATGCGGTACCCCGGATTTCACCCTGGGTACCGTAGAACTCCCCATATATATGATATTTTTTTTACCAAAAAATTACCTATGTCCCGGGACACATCCCATACCTCCTAGCTCCGCCTATGCTCATACTACCATCCTTCTTCTTCATAAATAGCACTGGGGCTCCCCATGGAGAGATACTAGGCCGAATGAAACCTTTTTCAAGTAACTCTTGCAATTTTTCCTTAAGTTCCTTGAGTTCTACTGGTGCCATTCGGTAGGGTGGAAATTGGTGCAGTACTTGACACAACTTCAATGTCAAACTCAATCTCTCTTTTTGGGGGTAACCCAGGAAGATCTTCTAGAAACACGTATGAAAACTCCTTCACGATGTCCACCTCTTCGAGCTCCACTTTTGGTGTCGTAGTAACATGTGCAAGATAAGCTTCACACCCATCTTGAATAAGTGTGAATGTTGTGGTTGCGGATATCAAACTCCCTAGAAAGGAC